CCTAAGAAAGGAAATTTTGAAGAAAGGAAGCACAGAAACAATAACCAAGATTTTCACGGCCTAGCATTGCTCTTCCTTCTACAGACTAACTTTTATAATACTGAAAGCTAAGATTTTTATCTTAAAATAAGACTTCAATATTATGCTTTCAATTTTAGCTTTCAAATTCAAAACCAATTGAAAACATGAATAAAGAATAAATATTTACACCCTCTAGCTTTCCCTTTCTCATTGCAGTCCCTAGCACAAGGACCATAGCTGGGCAGGGCTGGGAGTTTATGAAGGGCTCTATTACCACCAGAAAGGCATCACTGGCAATTTAATGACTGTGCAATCAGTGGACCAGCTTCTGATCAGAAACTGAACCTAAGGTTGCTTTGGTGTCCTAAACCAAAAGGAGAGCAATTCTACCAAAGGAGGGGAAACTGCTTTAGGCATCCAGCAGCACCACATTCAGACTGTGACCTGATGGCACAAGCTACATCCTATCAGAAATTAGCTTGCTTGTCATGCTTTTGAACTTCACTCAGAGCCAGACATTTTGTCTTAGTCATAACATATATAGGTCCTTTTTCTGTTACTCACTGACAGCAGCTCACTGTATAGGTTTCTGTAGCTCCCTTGTGCACTGAGAAAAGTTACTGTTATACATACTAATGTTTTTTAAAGGGGTTTCATTTTTCCAACTATGCAGTAGCTCAAAGGATTTATTACAACATATGAAAATTTCTTTCAGGTTGTGATTATAACTGGAGTGAAAAATTATTTTAAAACCTGTAAAAATAAACAGAAAGAGGGTAGCCTATGTCTATACTACAGCTAAAGTTCTGACTTCTGTTCATCCAAGGATTCCCATTTACTACAAAAAAACCATCTAAGTTCTGCCATTGATGTGTCATCATAGCCTGGCATTCAGCATTGATTGCAGAATTTACAAATGGGCTGGGTTGCCAGGTTTTTCTTGGTGCATAAGCTAGTTTACACCTCAGAGAGCATGGCATAATCATAGTGAAATGAAGGGCTAAGCATTCAGTTTCAGTCTGGTTGACATGTTTAAGACTAAGACAAATGATGAAAAACAAAGAGCAAAAAGGAAATCCTGATGAGGAGGAACTCATTCTGCTTTCTTCTTTTCTAGAATTAAGAGACTGAACACTCGTCTCAACAGCAGAGATGAGGGAGCTCTCATATTTCAAGTTGCAATATGCAGAAATCTAACTTTACCAGGGAAACCCTGGGGCTACAAAATCTTATTTTTAATTATAAGAAACAATAGCTATTCTGATAAGAATAAGACACTCTGAACTTAAAACCGAGACAGCAGCATAGTTAGCTTGTGTATTCTATCACCAAGCTTGAGCCCAACATGACAAGCCTAGTAAAGCATGTCAGCCTTTACACTACATGCCCTGATTTTTGCCCATTTGTCATCAACTTAAGGTTATCCAAAATGCCATTTTAATCCTTCATTTTCTTCTGATAACACTGTATTATAATGAAACGTTACTGCAAACAAACCTAAAAATAAAACGATGGAAGACAGTAGCTGCACTGTCCTGCTTTCGAGGGCTCTGAACAAATGCATAAATAATGGACACCAGAGATGCCCAGTGGGAAAGCAAAAAATTATGGGTGTGAAAGAATACTGGAGGGACGTGTTCCCAAACTTGAAAACCAATGGGTAGCAGAATATTTTTTTTTCAAAATGGCTGGTTAAAGAGCCTACATTTACTTTTCCACACTGAAAACTGACACTCGTGGGTTACAGTCATGTAGATATACTGTTAAAACTGTGCCAAACTGACTTGGCTGCTTTAAAGGTTTAGCAAACCACTTTTTCTCTCAGCTTTTTGCATATCTAGTAACTTCCTCTGGAGTTTTTTGAATGCAGACATTGGACTCCACTAATTGGAACGGTACAAGAGTTACTCTGTTAGAAAGATGAAATAGCACCATTTAGAAAAAATAGAAGTATTTAAAACTATGTCAAACATAGCTTACATCTGCTCCTCATACAAAACTGTAATAGGACTCACTGGCACATTTAGAAATTTTGTTTAGAAAGAACAATCACGATGTGGGGGACACAATTGCATAATGGGAAAATTTACTACTAGTTGTGAAATAAATAAAAATGCAAAAAGGGTCACAAAAATACTTTCCCTACTCCATACACTCTGTTAATAATTCATTTCCTAACTGCTCCTAATTTAGGGAAATGGGTAGTTGCTAATCCAATGACACCATGAATCTGGCTATCAAATCAACCTATATTTCATAAAAGAGGATATTAAAGGTTATTTAGGAACTCATTAAAGACAACTGCTAGAATTTATAATGTTATTCTAATAAAATATTCTGTTGACTCAGGGAATTTCTTAGTCCTTGTGATTTCAACTATTCTGATCACTGTACAAAATGTAGGCACCTGTCTCCTTCCTAAAGCTTTTATATAATTCCTTTATCGAGTGGACAAAAATGTGGAAAATAGATATGGATATGTTTTCAATGATTTTCATGCAGTCCCTTCAAGATTCAACTTTGCTGTAATCTAGGATATGTCTATAAATAAGACTCCCAAACAAACCATAAATAAAATAACCCTGGGCAGAACAACATATTTAGTAGATGATAAGAAAGAATGATAGCAACAATGGTTTTGAAATCTCCCTCTTTAAGCACAGATTTATAACTCCAATATAGATTTGCCTGTGTAGCTTTCCATAAAATACTTTAATCTTAAATCCATTTTTAAGAAAAGACAAGGTTTTTACTAATTAGTAGGTCTGTAGAAATAGAAAAAGTCTCTGTGTTGTACAATAATGGAACTGAGATTACAGGTTTTGTAGACTGTACAATAAAAATCAAACAAGATTCAAGTGAACATAATGAAACCCCATTTACAATCAAGCCTGAAAGTGTTTTAGTTCCATTTAATGAGTATGCTTTAATTCCACTAGAATCTAGGCAAATATTTTATTTAAAAATTAATTAATATGATATTGATTTTAAGAAGCAAACTCAAATCTCACTCTTTACTCTATACAGTTTTCTTTTCCAGAAGTTAAATTTCTGAAAGTATATTCACAGAAACTGTAATTTCTTTTAAAATAAAAGAAAAAAAAAAGAAATTAATTCTGAAATCCAAATGCTTAGACTCAGAAAACTCTCACTGAAAAAAATCTTTTGTAAGTCAATAAATAAGAGAAAAGAAAAAAACATAATATGTCACCAAAGACTCCAGGAAGACCAGAAAATAAAAAGCTGTGAATTTATTAAGGCTGACATTTACAGTAAATATATTTTGATATTTTTGCTAAATTTTCAAAATTATTTGGAGAACTTATTAGTATTGGATACACTTCAAAAACTCATGTCATCATTATGAAAAAATAGCAAACATCCCCACCCCATTAAGATTGCAAGTAAATAGAGTAAGATATTTTCTTCAAATACCTAAATTGCACTATGAAAGTTTTGTGCTTAGACATTTGCCTACAAAAGACTCAAATATTTATATTAGCAGATAGTTAATGTCCCAATTCAGCAGCATGCTTATATAGCAAATTATTGTGTGAATTATTTTCATGCCAGCAATGTTGTGTTTTCTAATCATTGTCTTAAAGTACACACTTAAGCAGTCTTCTAAATAGGATGGATGTGTGGAATGCTGTGGTAACCACTGGAGACTTAAAAATAATTTATGAGAGTTTGTCTCAATTGCACATATAAATTCATTGGTCCCTGAATGAAGCCAAAGAGAGAAGTGTTTAATAGAATTTTCTATAAACTGTTGTTTTTGTGGATTTTCAACAGGTGCTGTTTTATGCTTGTGTAAAGGACAATGATAAAACCTGTCAAGATGAATGTATAAATTCACACCAAAATCCTTGTTGGGTTTGCTTTTCATTAACCTTGCTGCATTAGTTTATTTTCTGCCTGAAATGACTTGTGCTTACAGAAGTACTTTTTTCATCATGAATGCTGGTTTCTAAACAGCCCTTCTTACAGGACATTAGTATGGAAGGGCAGAGACAAACCTAGCTATTAATTCATTATATATTAATTAGCTTAACAACTTCATCAGCATAACCATTGTCATCCAGGTCACAAAACTCCAGACTGAAAAATGCAAACCAGAGAAGATTATAACTGTAGTGGGGATATTTATATTTATTCTCCTTGTGGCATAAAATGTTTGTGAAAATCTCCTGAAAACAAAATTATAACATTACATTTTAGTCTCTTGGAATATTAATAATTTTAATTTTAGAAAACAAAACAAAATGTATTTTGTGGGAATCACTGTGGCAGTGTACTACTGGTATTTCATATGCATTTGAACAATAAATTACCAAAGTTCTCATAAATTAGGTCAGCTGGGAAATAATACACAAGAATAAAACTATAAAGATCTTTCATTACTGCACACAATTAAAAGGTGTACAGTTAAAGCTGCTCTGTCAAGAGGGATATACGAATGCTACCCTTTCCCATTTAAATGGGGCTTTACTCTTTAAAATATTTCTGATGTGCACCAAAATACCTCTAGAATTCCTCTTAAATAGGACAATAGGACATTTAAAACTTGAAATTCTGTACTATAGGGTTGGAGGTGGCCAGAAAAGGCCTAGGCATCCAATGAAATACACAGTAACTCCCTTGCAGTTCCCTTATTTCCAGAGGGCCTGTAATGTGTTCATAGTGAGCAGAACCTTTTCCATTGCAACTGATATGAAAGAGAGAGGAAGTAATTTTTCACTCTGCATCAACTCAGGGCTGAGAGAGGCCCAGAAATTACAAAGAAATGTTTCATAGTATACATGCTTACAAATTCCCAGACACCTTAGGTAAGTGGATTTTATATCAAAGTAAATATGAATTTTCCACTAAAAAAATAACTTAAAGAGAGAAAAAAGGAATTTTGCCTGAGTGTGGGTTATATAACCAGTCTTTCAAAAACTGTATTAGAACTCCATAAAATAATTTGCACTTTTTACCTTAATTTTGAATCAGCTTCAATTTCCATATGTGTTTTTTTCCCCATTTAAGACATTGGCACTGCTTCTTGCTTGAAATAACGCACTGAAATTAGAACAAGAATTAAAATAATTAGAAGTTATGACACTTATATACCCAGAGTATCAGGTAGAATCAGTTCCTGCCTCCTGTTAAAATTCACCTGTTAAAATATTAACTGAATAGAACTCTTGGTCCTGATAACACATATTTACATTTATATTTTTGTCTTTCAGTTTGAGCTTTGACTATGTTAAATGCCTAATTGATTTTTTTCTTAAATATTTTCATGATTTATCAGTAATGATGTCCGGTCCAGGAATTTCCTGGCAGTTAACAACCATAGAGAACAAAATTCTTCACTTAGAGTTCATTAGTACTTAAGTATTTTTAGGAGTCTTTCAAAGTCTTTCTGACTCTGGCATGTCTTTCTTTCATGAATGTAATGGCCTGTGGATGGATGGACATCTTGAGAACTGTTGGTGAATATTCACAGTAGTTGGACTTGATGATCCTTCTGGGTCCCTTCCAACCCCGGTTATTCTATGATTTTAATACTCTTTTTTTTTTCCTGTTGAATTTTAACTAATTTAAGGGAAAATAGTGGGCATTCACACTTCCATTACTCATTTATGTTCCTCTTAATCATTTGTGTAGTTCTAAAACTGAGAGGATCCCTTGTGGTGGGCTGGAGCAGAATCCTGGCAGGTTTGATGAACTTGCTTTATGAAAAAGGCGTATCACATCACTGAATGGAAGAGGAAGGGGCACTTAAACAGCTGCTACTGAGGCAATAAAACTAATCTATTGGATTCAAGACAACAGTTAGACCCATGCTTTGTCTTTATTGGGATTGATGATGAACCATTTAGAGAGGCAATCCAATCATATTGCAATGAAAGTGCATGATGCTGTAATTTTATAGTTTGCATGGCCTCATTTAAATCAGTAATATTTTACAGGTACAGTAGGAAATTGGAGCTATATCTTCTTCATAATTTCTATATTCATTAGCAGTAATGAATAGGTGTTATAGAATAACATTAAAGCAATGCATTTAGCAAAAGAAAACCAAAGGTATACTCTCTGGTTCCAAAGGGCTGCATGCACTTCTGCCTCGACACACGTCAGTATGTTACTATTCTCATTAAAACTAGAACCACCCCACTGTTAGGTAACAACGATGAAGGAGACTTTTCATATCTCATCCAGAATGTATTTCATAGAATCACAGAATCATTAAGGTTGGAAAAGAACCCTAAGAACATTGAGTCCAACCATTAACCCAGCACTGCAAGTTTACCACTAAACCATGTCTTTAAGTACCACATCCACATGTTTTTTGAATGCTTCCAGGGATAGTGATTCCACCACTTCCCTGATCAGCCTGTTCCAATGCTTAGTTACCCTTTCGGTGAAGAATTTTTTCCTAATATCCTGTCTACACCTCCACTGGTGCAACTTCAAGCTGTTTCCTGTTGTCCTATTGTTTGTTGTCTGGGAGAAGAGACTGAGCCCCACCTTGCTCTTTCAGGTAACTGTAGAGAGCAATAAGGTCGACCCAAGACTCCTTTTCTCCAGGCTAAACAACCCCAGCTGCCTCAGCCACTCCTCATAAGACTTGTGCTCCAGACTCTTTACCAGTTTCTTTGCCTTTCTTTGGAGACACCGGACAACTGAAGACTGAGCACAGGCCTACTCACATGAATGCATATGTTTCAAAGCTTTCAGCTGCCTTAGTACACTTTGTCCAAGTGACTTTCCTGAATACATCTGCCATGTATCACCCATACTGTCTGATGAAGACAAGTACTGAAAAGAGCATCTATCCTGAGATGTGCCTGTTGTGCAGGACTAACCTGATGGAGGGGTCTGCCTGGCACTCCACCTGCGTGGGAAAATGCAATGTTTGTGTCCTGCTTTGAAAAGATGTTTCCTCCTTGAGCGTTCTTGATAATTAGTATTTTACCTGATGTATTGTAATGAGCTGCCATCTCCCAGATATGCTGCTCTGGGCTCAGTCAACACTGTAAGGCAGATTTCACGAGTAGGGAAACTAAAGCCAGGAGTAAATTAAGGGGCCTGTCCAAAGCCAATTAAAAAGTAATAGACAGGATACTACTGTAAGCAAGATAGGAGGAGTTGAGGGGTCATACAGAGCCCAGGTCCAGGACATAAAAGCTGGACTGGGATAAGCTGAGCAGCCTAGCCATTTGAACTGCCTTCTGTGGTCTCCTAGGTTTTATTTCTCATTGATAGGGCAATGAATGACTTTTACTTGATTAAGGGAAAAGGAAGGAAGTTGCATGGGTACCTTTCTCTCATCCCACTTTTTTCCTCTCCTTTCATTAGACTTTAACAATTTTTTGTCTGTGCTTTCATTCTATAAAAAAGGTACCTTCAATCTAAAGACTTAAAGTCTTCACAGAGAAGATATTATATAAGTCATTATCGGAACAGTAGTTAGCTAAATAAGGAAAAAAACCTAGCAACTCAAAACAGCAATTCATCATCAAGTGTCTGCTGCTTTATGTGCTAACAGCCTTTCTCAGCTTCCTTTAAGCCATCTGCTTGTTTCAGCTATCTCTCCATACCACCAGCCTCTCCCATTGCACCCCTCTCCAACTCACATATTTGCTCATCACTACTCAGACTACTCAGAGTTTGTGTTTTACCTTCTAGACACTCTTGCCTTTTTCCACAAACATATTTGTTCTACCAGGTAGAAGTATCAGCTGATGCTGCTTATGCAGGAGAACAAACTCGTGTTAGTTCCTTTTCATGTCAGGAAACACCTCCAGTACCTCCATTTAAATAAACAACTCAATTTAAATAAGCACCTCCTTTAAAATAAGGTGTTGAAGGACACCAGGGAAAATCAGCATATTTTGACAGGCAGGAGTATACAATAGGTACTTAGGAATTACAATAATACAGTGAAATTAGGAAGCAAATTACATGTGGATTTCTTTTCTCTTAGTGCTACTGAGAGAAGTCTTTCTTTTGCTATTTTAAAAAACAGACTATACTGAAAAAGATTTTGTTGTTGTCACAGTAGTATTTTGTAAATGCCTAGCTACAAAACTGCTGGGTGGTGGGAGCAAAATCCAAAGGAATTGCACTTGTAAATGTATATGATCACAAAGACTTGAGTATGCAAGCTTATATTCCAGATGTATGGGAAATAACTATTACAGCAGTAAGTCACAATGTTGTAAAGCACAAAAGTGAAGGCTAAGTACTTGCAGCCATCTGCAAAATGCAAACAATCAGCTATGAAAATGTAGGTCATTAATTTAAGAAATCACTGGGGGGAAAAAATGGAACAGGAACGATAAACAGTTTAGTGCAGGGTTGAAAAAAGACCCTTGTGGAGGTAATCAAGATGAGAGTGGGTGATACACAGAAACAGAGAGAGGACCTTATCCCAGGAAGAATCAGCACATGCCCAGCAGAGAGGAGGCCCTCTGCAAGGAGATCAGAGGCACCTTGCACAGAGGAGACAATCTCTGCATTGCCTCTGTTCTCAGAGAAGATTTTGTCTTGTAGGATATGTAGGGGTCGCTTAGTCTGTTTGCTCATTGAAGAAAATTTTAAAAGCATCTGTTTGATCTTGGAATGCTGTTGAAAAGACAGATGGGCAAGAAAAGAAAGGTGANTTCCTTTCCATGATTTATAATTTACTAACAATGTTCTGATGGAAATTTCTTTACCAGAGAGTACCTAGATACTGTGAGGTCATTTCCATATTTACTTTTTTTTTAAATGACCAACCAAATAGATATGGAGAGACAAGCTTGAGGTAGCTTGGAGGTTTAGGTTGACAGGGATGTTTTTCTGAAAAATGGATTTTCGCTACAGTTATCCAATATTTAATATAGCGCTCATAACACCCTGGATCCAGATACCGCACTAAGCATAACCCACAAGCCACTACACTGACATATCTTTAGCTTGAAGGCATAAAAAGCCTCACAAAACTAAATTTAGGACCATTCATCTTTAATATCTTAAATTCGTTAAATTATAACAGGCTGTAATCATGGTCATTTATGCCCTCCTTCAGAAAAGAGAGGTTAGTTCCAAAAGTGCTGGCAATGAAAATCTGAAGAGTTTAAAACTTTCTTGTCAGCCATGCTAAGTGCAACTAGCCAAATAAAATCAGACATGATAGATTCACATCTTTTCTCTGAATATAGCTGAGAGGTCACTCCAGTGATACTTGTGGGATCATGCTACTACTTGTAGGTACTGCAGTTTTCATCACACAGCTTTTGCAATAATCTCAAATCTCTTTTTCTGCTGATTTTTCTAATGATTTTTCTAGTGATCACTTTCTTCAGTGAACTTCAGTTCCAGACCCCCTCTTTATTTTTATATTTGATTCAAATTTTCTAATAAATAGAACAAACAATATTATACACATGTTTCTCTGTCGAACAAGCCACTGAATACAACACTTCGCAATCAGGCTTTGTGGTATAACACACATAATATACGTATAAGCACAGATAGCAGAATCAGTTTGAGAAATAGAAGGCTACCTCTACCAGATAACACAACCAATATTTCAATTGCACCTCCTTAAATCCATGTCCTGACTGGTGTGAATAATTTTCAAACTTTTGAGCACTCTGATGAATGTCAAATGAGTGCATCTGCTTCCGTACTTCACCCCCTTAGTTCCCTTTTCGTACATGATATCTTGTACTCTGCATAGTCATGCCAGTAACGCAGGCCATGTTTTAAAGGCAACTGTATTTATCTTAAATACCATCCATCAACCACAAAATGAAAGATTATATCACAGTGACAGGAATAGCAATTAAAATAATCACTATCTTTTATTAAGCTTTAAAAGTAATTAAAACTAAAATCTGTCACTGGCCTTATAAAAGCGATCATCTGTTTTTCTTTCAATTCTGCATAAATTAAACAAATATTTGCTGTTAATTAAAAACGTGGGTTTATACTTGCATTTTATTGCAAATAAATTTGTGCTAGTGTGTATATGGGTGACTTTTTAGCCCTGGTAGAATAGACATTTTATTAAACAATGACAAGCA